ACCCTCTAGCTTTTTCTTACAAACAATTTGAACTTTAATCCAAATTTTGATGACAGAATTAACAAGATAAGTTAATTAAATTTGATTAAATTATCATTCATTTAATGTAATAATTACTTGAATCATCATAAAAATTATTAAAATTCCTATGTATCATTTTATAACATATAATTCCTATTTTTCTAAACATTTTATGCTATTGGATATACAAAATCACAAAGGCTTAAAAGTTGGCTGAACTTAATTTCTTTAATGCTGCAATAAATTTAATAGTTGAGTTTAAGGTTTGTTATGCAATCCAATTTAGCTAGGTGACTTTTTAATTATCTCTAAACTTTTCCAATAGGATTTGATTGAGGTCTAAAAGGATGTAAAAATATGAATTCTTTCTAAATTGAGAATTCCTTATGAAATGATGCATAATCTTAGATAAAGAAATAATTCCTCAACCATACTGTTTATTGAATTAAGATAGAAATGTTAGCAGAAAATTCTTAATCAATTTTGAATTAATGTTGCCTCTAATGAATTAAAACATTTAAAGATCTGGCCCGATTGCCCTGAAAATACTAATTCTCTGTTTAACTTAAGCCCTGTCAATTTTTAAATGTAAATAATTTTTGCTCCATACCTGTAAATTATAATGCTCATTACCAATGCCAGATTCATCTATATAATCGGTTATGTAGATTAAAGATGTGATATAAAAATAATGCATAAAGGAATTGCTTGCTTTTATTCTCTTTTGTATTTGCTTTAAAATTGAACTTAGATTTATTCTTGTAAGTACATCCAGGTCCTTTAATTAAAGTTCTAAAACTTGTAAGTAAAACATTGTGCTTAAAAAATCATTATATCTATTTTTTTAAGGACAAAGATTTTCCTGATTTTAGTAATTCATATATTTAATTGCTATTCTTGATTCATACATAAACAACCTTAATAAGAATAACTCATCTAAACCATCCTAAGTCTGGAGCAATTTTTATTTGACTTTCCAAATAATATAATTTATTTTATTATTATTGTTTCTTAATTGGTTTTTGAAAAAGTGGAGTGTTGTTTTTCTAATACGTTTTATATTTTTCATTTTAATCATTTTGTTATATTGAATCCAATAGGCTTTAACATAATAGTTAAGCCTATTCGAATACTAATGATAGCGTGTAGTTTAAACACCATTTTAAAAATTGCCTTAATGAAAAATAAATTTATTAACTTGTGTGGAAATCAAAAAATTTTTTTGTTCACAAAAATGATCTTTTAGCAAAATTTTTTTTTTAAATTATTTATAATTTAATGCCTAACAGTCACTTAAGAAATAAATATTATGAATTTTGAGTTTTATGTCTTTATTTTAACATTTTATAACGATTACAGAAGTTTATACAATATAATTATTTTTATGAATGCAATTTAAACAATTTATAATGATAAAATATTATTATTTGATTGAACTTATATTTAATAATTTATAATGCGAATTTATTTTAAATAATTCATAATGATTAAACTATTTTACAAAATATTATTATTATTAATCAATTTATTCTTTAACAATTTATAATGATTAAGAAAATTAAAAAATAATTATTTGATAAATAAATTTTTTCTTTGATGATTAAAGAAATGTATAAAATAGTATTATTTTTATGAATTAAATATTTATAATTAATAATGATTAAAAATATTATATAGTCAAATTCAATATTATTTCATTTTATAAAGTAATCATTTTTACATCACCAAAAAGAATAATAATTTTCACTAACGTATAATAAGTAAGATTCTTTTTAGACGTTTTCCAATTTCCCATATGTTCTCAAAAATTACCTTTATTTATGCCAAAACAAGATAAATGAATGAATCAATAATAGAAATTAAATTAAGAATTAATTTATTCATATAAAAATTACTTATTCGATATTATTAAAGAGTAAAGATATGCATATATTGAAATGATTTATCAATAGCATATTTTAGATCAATTACAATCCATTTCAAATCTACACAAAGTCCGAACTTCTATTTTACAAAAATACATAAGATATTCTATCGATTTTGCAGTATATAACTTAAAATTTGAGAAATTACATTCAATATTAAAAATAAAACAAGAAAATGTACACTTTTTAGAAGAAGGAAGCTCTATCTGATATCTTTGGTTAAGTTAAAGATGTAGATGAACGAATATTTGCCGTCATATTAGAAATATTAAGAAAGGAAAATGTTTAAAATTGCATTGGATATCTCTCAGATAATAGAAATCAAATACATTTAGAATCATTAATCGTACAACACATAGAAAATATCACCCAAGCTGATACAGAATAGAAATTTTTTGATATTGGAAATGACATAAAATTCATTACAAATGTGATATAAAAATTAAAAGATCATAACTTCAATTAAAAAGACTTTTCCTCTGAAAAATATGAAGAATATCCATTAAGTCTAATCAAAAGCATTAAGGATAATAGAAGGATCATTGAATTTTTGTAATTTTTAGTTCACCTTACATCTATAGATAACACTTTAATATAATGTGGATCTAATTCATTACATA